GAAGTTCGCTTTAGGTAGCCGACACCGCTTATTACCGTGTATTTCTGGGCCTCATCATCCTTCTTTTTATCACAGAAAATTTCAAAAAATTGCTCATAACATTAATAACAACGGCAACGTCTGAAACTTTGGCATCTTTTCCGGACCGCAGCACCATATTTGCGTGAAGAATGAGCATTGATGAGAAATACAGAGTTAGTTTGTCGGTGAAAGAAACACGGGAAATGTTCTTCCCGAATGCCTGGCACGTGCATAGTTAGGCTATCAGGAGCCGCCTCAGGATGCCACTAAGCACTTGGTGCCTGCACGAGGAGGACCTCAACCAGTGGGGATAAGGGATGAGACCAGCCTGTCCCTCTCAATGCGTCCGGGCACCCTAAGTGCGGCATCCGAGAGAGACACGCCCGGCAGGTCCTCCTCAGGCGAGCCCCTGCCGTCCATCCTGAGCAACTCCTGGCGCCTCAGCTCTTCCACCTCAGCATCACTGATTTCAGTGTCCCCAGCATCAATGCACAAGTTGTGCAAGACGTAGCAAGCAATGATAAATGTGGACATTCGGCGCACTGTCGGGAACTCCAGTTTTATCAGTTGCCTGAAGCGCTGTTTGAGTAGCCCGAAGCCAATCTCAATGAGTACCCCTGTGCAGTTCAACTTAGTGTTAAGCTCTTCTGCTAGTTAGTCAATGTCCCATAGTCCCGAAAAGGAGTGACTAAAGTCTCCCTCACTGGGTATGCTGCATCGCCAAGAAGGTGATACTTGCCCATGCAGCATAGAAATAAAATGATCCACGACACAAACGATAACTTATAAATCCTTGAGTCTCGGATTTTGCTTGGTGGACCCGTGAAAACATCCACAAAGCGGTGTCTGTGATCACAGATGCCCTGCAACGTCAGTGAAGTCTGGTCGTACAGATTGACATACGTTGACTTCGCCTTGTTGGCAGGGCACCGGATAGCGATGTACCTGCCGTCGACGCATCCCACCACCCAGGAAAGCCTGAAAACTAGTAAAAGAATGTGGCATGTGAGCTCAAACTATGCGCTGTGTACTCGTTCCCAACAAGTTCTAAAAGGAGAGATGCTATATGTAATCTGCCCATCAAAGGAAATAAATTAATAAATGAAAGGTGTCCTTTTTATTTCAAATCATGAGGCACACCACTACACCAGTTATACAACACCTGTCAATGGTCTGTTTGACGATGTCATTTTCTGTAATATATGCAAGGTGTGTAATCACCTACACTGTTGCTTATGTTTCTAGAAATCTGAAAATGCTGACTCAATGCAAATATTTTCATCCGCCAGAAATACATAGCCTTGAGGTTATTTTTCAGAAATTGCTACCAACTGCCGCAGTTCCCTCTTCATGGAAACTTGCGAAAGTCCTTCTATTGTATAAATCTAGAAAAATCATTGTGAAACTACAGACCTATCTTCTTAAATCACTCCCCACTTATATGCGAATTATTAGAACACAATCTACCAACACCACGGGGAGTTCTTTGCATGCGGCCATATGTCGTATGCTTCATTAGGCGCCAGTAAAACATTTTTTTAACAAACTTTGAACCTTTAATTCTGGTCTGAACTTGCCATAAGCATCCCCTTGAGATCCATTACTTATAATTGATGCATCAGCTTTGCTCTTAATAGACAGTCGCAGGAAAAGGTTAGACAGACAATGATCACCCCCTCAACTTACTGCCAGAACAGGTGGCCTCACATGATCTGGTTCAGATTATATGTTATCAATGTTAATCATTACCACGCTTTAGGGTTGGCAAAGCACAAGGCGCATGCTGAGCTCCAGGCATTGTTGAAGCTTGCCTATTTTTGCATGCGTAGTGATTGTTCTTACACGAATCACTACCCAAACATTTGCCGAAGCAATAATTTCCATAAGCACAAATCAAGTGCTTACGCAGTGCTCGAGTCAAACCATGAGCCGCACTTGACTTTTGTTTCCATGGATCCTACAACAACACCGAAATCCACGTGACTAGGTCATCCAGTTCAGCGAAACACAGACTGCAATAAATAGTGTGCTTTTGTCCCTGAACTAACTTATACCGTAATAAAGCGCCTTGTCAATGGCATTGCATGCGAGTATACTTGGGGCACACTAATGCCATTAAGTTTCTGTATACTAATTACGTTCCCAACCAATATCATTGCATAGCCTATTTAAAGCAATTTGTTACTGCATTTCATTGCTTTTGTCTATTGGACCTTGTTTTGAACTTGTTCTGATTTTGTTCAATCATTTTTTTGTATCATTTTACTTCTTTCTTGTTTGTGCCACTCCTGAAATAGTCTCAATAATATTGAAGCAGCAGCATACGTAAAGAAGCGAGCTCACAAAACGGACCTCCTCAAGATCCTTGGCAAGAGCTGCCACATCGTCGGGAAAGCGGATCTCATCTAGAGCAATGCTGCACAGGAACTCAGTCACACGATTCAGGATGCGGGAAAGAGTGCTTTCCCCCATGTCAAAGCGGCCTGCACCATCTCGAATGGAGGTTTTGTTGCCAGCATACCTGCAGCGTAAATAGAGTTTCTCTGAGTAAAATCACAGACGTTAATAATAATTTAGGTCCACAGAGAATATACTGAAATATTCAGGAGGGCTAGTTTGGTTTAACATATTGATATTATAAGGTGTAGCACTCTCCTGTCTACTTTATGTCCATGTCTGTCCCTTGGGCTTTATAATATCAAGAGACAATATTGTATGCGGAAAACGTGGTTGCTTTCAACCTCCATCACACTGCTGGTGGAAATTAATAAAGCAGAAATATAAAATAAAGCAAAATAATGATCTCGCGCCTTAGTTCAGAAATATGAAAGTAAGCACAAAAGTTAAATGAGGATTACTGCGCAGGCAAGCTGGTGATTGATCGTAAGAAAAAAACCCTTGAGACTAGAGAAAATATGGTAAGGGTGCAGGCGAGCTGGTGAATATTAACCATGTTGAATAACCTGCGTCTGGGGTAGAGAAGACACCTCCAAACGTAGAAGAGACGGAAAAATACAGGGCGACGTCTCAAACTCAGCTAACTTGTGTATTTAGTCCACCGCCTTGTATTGTAAAGAAAGTAGTAAGGGAGACTGTGCGGATAAAATCTCTAGGCCATTGTATAGACCGACACGCTGTTTCCAAACAACCCCGCATTTTCCCACATCAGGTGTGGGCACTGCGCGTGTGCCGAAAGAAGATTCGCGTGAAGTGAAGCGCCTGCGCACGCAGAGTGTCGTCGACAGCGCCACCGCAGCTGTGTGAGGTCAGGGCCGCATGTTGGTCCATAAGTCGGGCTTCGCTACAGTTCTGAAGGAAAAATGTTCCAAAAGCCGGGATTCATGATTAAAAACAAATACCTTCGACTTGCCCAATACCAACAATTTAACAGACGTTTCGTCTCCTATACGGGAGATATCATCAGTGCGGCCTGGGAACACCCGACTAGCTACCAGCAATCCAACGCTTCTTCTTCCTTCTCTTCATCCGTAGAGCTGGCAGAACCAGCGCTACGGATGAAGACAAGGAAGAAGAAGCGTTGGATTGCTGGTAGCTAGTCGGGTGTTCCCAGGCCGCACTGATAATGCCTCCCGTATAGGAGACGAAACGTCTGATAAATTGTTGGTATTATTATGCAAGTCGGAGGTATTTGTTTTTAAAAGTTCTGAAGCCATTCGAAAAGTGTTTTAAAAATGTGATGTAATTTTTTTAAGTGATATTTTGTTTGTGACTGTCAAAAATAACTGTACCGCACTTTTTTTGTTGTTGTTGTTGCTGTTTGTTGGTTTTCGACGTGTGTTGGCCCGAAGGGCGTTTCGGTACTTTTTGGGGGTAGTAGGTGGAAAGGGCGTCTTCGGGATCACAAGTGGTGCCTAGACATGTGCTAAGAAAGGAAACGAAGAGGGATCCTATTGTTCAAGTTTAAAGGAGGATGGATGTTGCCTTATCGCGTCGACCTGTGAGGTTGTCCAGATTATTACACTGTGTGACGTAGACTGTGGCCCTTGACCTGTATAGACTTCGTCCCTTTGTGTTGGTGGTGACCTTGAGGTTGAGACTATATAAGGAGGTGGACTAAATTTTTTCCAATTTTTCGCCAGCTCTCTTCCCCTTTCCCTAACATTAATTCAATAAATTCAATAATCACCTTCACTCCTCTTCGTTCAAAATATTACTACGGCTGCACTTGTCAATCTTCATTCATTTCCATTATATATATGGTGCAGCCTGTCCCTAAGGGGAGAAGTGTTTCCCTAAATATCTTGGAAGACGGGTCCTTTCCAACATTTGCAAGCTGAGATGACGTGCCACATCACTGCCGCAATTTGGAACTAGCGCGGGCCTTATATTAGCAACGGTTGTCGTCTACCCAGTTATGCGAATTCGAAACTGACAGTACACAGAGAGCTGGTCGAGAATTGAGTCCGCCGAAACCAGTGACCGGGATGGTCAGAAGCTTCTCATTTTTCTGTATGCGAGAATATTCTTGTGTAAATTATAATCAAGTATCAAAGGGTAAAACACGTATTATTTTTTTTTTAATTTTGTCTAAGGAAGTTTTTTTTTTGTTTTTGTTTCTGGTGTGTGTGTGTGTGGGGGGGGGGGGGGGGGGGAGGGGGGTTGCTGAACGCAAAATTAAGGACAGGCCTCGATATGCAAACGAGTATATACTGTAACCAACTTAATATTTCGCGAAGACCTAATTTTCGCCAATTTCGCGAATTGCCTACAATTCGCGAAAAAGAGGTCCCGGGAACAATTCTTCTAAAATGTATACACATTCGAATTTATATTGAGATCCCACCGCGTCGCGAAAATTATTACCCGTGAATTATTTTTAATCTTCAGCTTTGACCTAAATCACGAAATAGTGAGCCCGCGAAAATTAAGTCCTTTAGAGTATTGGAGTTTGTTTACCAGAAGTGCGTGTACTTCGTGTTCACACCTAACGGCGGTGCATTTATACTGCGAAACAAAGTATGCCTATTTTTGCCAATTACGTTCATTTCTACGCAGTCATTAGAAAAAAAATGTTGAGCATCCATTTTTATAAAAACGTCATCACACGTTTGGTTTTTTTGCTCATTAATATGTAGCAAGTTTTAGGTGTATATAGTAACTGTATTAATGAACAAGTCTTGACCAAAAAGTCGTAATCGTTAAAAACTGTTTGAACGGCAGTAGAGCCTTTATTACACGACCTTTCGGGAAGAGACTTTCCTTCTTCAAGTGTGCAGAAAATACAGTTGAAAAGCGTTTTTAGAGACGAAAGGAGAGAGGAAGCATTGGAAAAAGCGAAAGAAAAAATATCAAATATATAATAGTACCACGCGCGTCGGCGGGCAAACGCGTCCGTGGTCGAGTCAATAAAGAAAAGAAAAAAAAAAGCCCGTCCGTGGTCGAGTGGTTACCGCGCTTGACTGTCGCGCGGAAGGTGCAGGTTCGATTCCAGTCAGCGGACTGTCCTTTTACTTATTCTTTGCACTTGGCCTTCTCGTAAGTTCCAGAGCATTCTCGTCTGATCGAGTTCCGAATGTTCTAGGCACCGAAAGTTCTACCCCGAATGTTTCAGAAACCCATGAGAGCAGATGAGGGACTCCGCCTGGCGAGCGGAGTCAGTCCAACACCACCTAGACAGAAGGATATGTTTCTGATGTCGTTTCATACAGGGAAAGGAAACCATGCGGAGGCCTTCTGTCAAGGTGTGTTGGTCACTCTCGCTCCAGCGTTCGGTCCTGCTGTTACGCCGCTATCGACGCTTGCGACGCTCTACTGTAATCGTCTGTTTCCTCCTTGATTTTGGGCAAAAGTTCGCCCCATTAAACGTTTATTTATTCCTGTTTATTTATTGTTTTTTTGGTCATCACACGTGACATTTTGGTGGAGGCACGGGTTAGTGGATAGACGTGTTTCTTTGTCACCGCGTTTAGCTGCCGGTAAACCACGCAGAACCTAAATGTTCCGTCCTTCATCTTGACCAGTGCGACTGTAGAGGCCCATGGACTTCTCGAAGGTTGGATTAGGTCGTCGTTAAGCATCTCTTGAAATTGTTCCTAGATTTCCTTCCTTTTTTTTTTTAACACAAAAATAAAATCGCTGCCGAAGACGAACGATGTAAAGAGCCTCTAAGAACGCCGGAGCGCTCCCACTCTTCCGACGCTACGCATCAGAACCACGCGATTGCATCGGTGTACAACAGCCTAAACGTTATTATCGACGGCCACGACGCATCGGCACTTGTGGACACCAAAGCAGACTACTTAGTCTTGAGTGGGAGGCTCTCACGCCGCCTTCGAGAAGTGACGACACAGTGGGATGGGCCAATGATACGAACCGCTGGAGGACACCTCATCACGCCTGTCGGAAGGAACACTGCTTGCGACGAAATTCACGGCGAGACGTGTCCTGTGAAATGTGTCGTTCTGCAAGACTGTGCGAGGGATGTTATTCTCAATATAGACTTTTTGTGCGAATACGGCGCCGTCCTCGACCTGGGAACGAACACATTGACGCTACAAAAATCTGCCCTACCGCCGGACGAACCCACAGACGTCACCCGTGGTCAGAGTTCCCGTCGATCATGTAAACATGCTGCCACGATCGTCTGTTTTTGTAACCGCCGGGACTGATGAAACTCCCTCTGCCGAAGCTCTGATTGGAGGCAGCGTCCAGTTGCTTCTAGGAAGAGGAATCGGCGTCGCAAGAGGGTAACGAATCTTCAGGACGGCCGTATCATGGTCCTCGTTACAAACTTTCGACAAGAGCCGCAACACCTTACGAAAGGTACCACCGTGGGCCACATCGAGGAACTCCAGAACTCAACCGAAATCGCCGCAATTACTGAAGAGTCCCCTCCACCTGAGCAAGACAGCACGTCGTCAGCGCAGCTCGACATCGACCCTAAGCTTCCGGGCCAGAAGCGACGGCAGCTGGTTAACCTTCTCGCCGAATACACCGACTGCTTTGCGACATCGTCGAAGGTACGCCAAACCGCTGTTGTAAAGCACCGAAGCATTACCGAGGACGACGCGCGCCGTGTGCATCAATCGCCGTACAAAGTCTCCGTAAAAGAAAGGAGGCAATCCAGGAACAAGTTCAAGAGATGCCGAACATGGACATAATTCAACCCTCGAACAGTCCACGGCCTCTCCAGTCGTACTGGTTAAGAAGGACGGAACACTTAAGTTCTGCGTTGACTACAAGCAGCTGAACGCGCTGACGAAGAAAGACGTCTATCCACTTCCCAGCACATCCACCAAAATGTCACGGGTGGTGACCAAAAGAACAATAAACAGGAATAAATATGCGTTTAATGGGGCGAACTTCTGCCCAAATCAAAAAGGAACCAAGATTATAATAGAGCGTCGCGGGCGTCAATAGCGGCGTAGCAGCAGGATCTAACGCTGGGGCGAGACTGACTTCACTCGCCATGCGGAGTTCATTTTGTACCCTCGTGGGTTTCTGGAACATTCGGCGTAAAACTTTTGGTGCCTAAAACATTCGGAACTTGATCAGACGAGAATGTTCTCGAACTTATGAGAAGGCCAAGTTGAAAGAATAAATAAAAGGACAGTCCGCTGACTGAAAATGAACCTACACCTTCCGCGCGACAGTCAAGCGCATTAACCACTCGGCCACGTACGCGCTTGCTCGCCGACAAGCGTGGCAATAGACCCTTACCGAAATTGCGGCAGGCAACCATGATTCGCTGAACTTGGCTTTTCTTCAAAACACGACAGACAACACCGATATCGAGGGGGCGCGGGGGGAGCAGCCAATGGTATGGCGGCCGCTGCAGCGTCTAGTTCGCCCGGCGCTATCGCTGCCGGTCTACTATGGAGCAAAACTTTGACAACGATTCCGGATAACTTCACTGCTGACCAGGTGAATAAGTATTACGCCGCCCGGAAGACGAGCGAGCGTAACCGGCGACGTAGTTACAAATTCATGACCGAAAGCTACGTTGAGCCGCCGTCGCTCGAAACTGCGATAGTTAACAACGGGTAAGTTGTCGATTCTGCATTAGCGACTACTGCGCGTTATAAAGTGTACTATAAGCATTTTCAAAACTTGTTTTTCTTATACACAGGAATGTGAGCTTCGTCGTGGCGCGCGGGCAGTGCTATGCGAGCCAGAGAAAGTCATCCAAGCCCTACCGCGCAACTGCAACGATCGCAGCAGACGGCTCGGTCTCGACGAGTACCTGCCATTGCGCTGCCAAAGAAGGCTTGTGCAATCATTCTTTAGCACTGCTACAAATGATTGCCCTTCTCAAGAAAGAAGGGTACAGGGAAGAACCCCTGGAAGTGACATGCACGGAACTTCCGCAGCAGTGGCGTCGTCCTCGGGGATCGCAGATCAATCCTGGGAGCGTCAGCGACCTGGACTGGAGGAGCGTGAGGGAAGGAGGGCCTTCCGAAGCACTTTCTTCGAAGCTCTGCGACGCGAGAAAAAGCAAGGGGAGCATGACAGACATGCAGCAGGACCTCCACACTTTGGGCGTCGATCTCGGCCACCTCGAGGATTCGCCTTTTGCGAAGCATCTGCGTTCCCTGCAAGTGCTGGGCACTGATTCAATGTTTGGCATAGTCCCCGAGGGCTCTGGAATATCTTACCAGCACCCAGTGTCTCCACATGGATTCAAGACATACATCAGCCCGAACATTGTGCAGTGTGGCACAGATGCCTCCAAACCTGTGCTCCCTGCCTGGCCGGTGCTGTTCACCTCGTCAAACACCTACAAGCTCGGGACGGAGTTCCTAAATGCTACCAGTACATCGCTTCTTCAGGTATTGTTCCACTTGCTTCACATTTTCACTTTATATTTATCTTCCTGTTATGCATTACCTTGTCTTTGTCTACGTAGAGCTTGGTTTTAACCCCGGAAGAAGCACCCCACCTGGAAAAGGACAGCCGCCAACAAGCAAAAAGCGCAACGTGGAAGGCTGCCCGCACCAACAGGCTCACGGCGTCTTCATTCGGGACCGTTGCAACCAGAGAGTCGTGGACGAATGTGGGGCTACGGAACCTCACTGAAGAACGAGATCTTTCTCGAGTGAGAGCCGTCAAGTGAGTGCTTACACACTATTTGCGGGCAAGATAGTTTTTCTCTTTTCAGAACACACACTCTTCAACTAGACTCCTCTTTTTGATAGAAAGATGCATGCACAAGAATACTTGCAGTACAACATGAAACGGCATGTCTGAATCCACAGTAGAGTCACAGCGATAGCTGCAACACCACACTCGGACCCTCATTAGCATCGTTTACATGAATGCGACTTAGTCGCATCAAATGCAGTTGTTGTATTGAATGCAGTTATGTAAATGGTATGATGCGCTAGGAAAGTGCAACACATTCAAGTCGCTAGACAGAGATGGATCGAGATGGCAAATACGCATTCATTTAACCCATGTAAACGGAGCTCGCATCACATTTTGGAACGGGGAGGATTATGGGAAAGCGCTCGCTGCGCCAGCGAGTGAACAGCTGAGAATATGGCGGTAGCCAGCCTTACTGGCGGCGGCAGATAGCGGTCCTGTGTGGTCGCCCCCAGTTTTCTCCCGAGAAGAAACGCGAGCTTTTATTTCCATCATAAGTGAGCGGAATATAGCTGAGCAGCTTGGTGAGGGCGGCCCCCGTCCAAGCCTTGCGAAATGCGACTTGCGCATCCGAGGGCGTTTCAAGAGGCATAGGCGCAAGCACGAACGACGCCGAGAGCTCCTAGCACTGCATTTTAGCACAGAACAAGCAGCTCCTACCTCGGCGCTGTTCCTGGCTGTGCCGGAGCCTTTTGGCCTCGGGGTCCGGTCGCGGTTGGCAAGGTTTGGCGAGGCGCAGCGTGGTGACGTCCTCAGAATGGTTGCAAATGATCTCGCTCGCCAGGCCGTGCACAGGTACGTCGCCTCTGATCCAGAGTGACCTAGCGGTCCGACCTGGAACCCAAAACACTTGGGTTTTGATGCTCCTTCCGTCTCATAACTTCTTGTACAGCATTGAAGACGGCGGGCACAATCTTTACGCTTGCGGAAAGTGTTGAAAAGCCTTCATGTGCGATGCATCGGAAAATGTGGTCACGTAGTGCAGCCGGTGCCGGAAACACAGCTTTAACTTTGAGCTCTGACACAGCATGGCGCCACCTTCGCGTAGGGCTTGGTGCACATTCATGCAAACATTGCCACGTTGGCTTCATTTGAAGGCCGATTGGAGTCGATATGCTGAAGTCGCATTCATGTAAACGCAGCTATTATCGCAGGCACGCACTTCACTGCTCTCCTGGCGGCGACGGTGAACTGCTTACAATAATCTCTGCTCTTCGGTTTGATGAGCCCGATGTTCCCTCGCTGTTGCGAGAAGTCTAGCCTTGCGTTCCGCTTTTTCTGTCGCAGTCGGCACTTTACGAGGAGGAGCCGTTATTGATGTGTGGGCATAGCCAGGTCGTGGGCGTTGCTTGACCAGCTGTTTGTAGTGCCCAGAGCCAGGGCCTTATGAAGCAGCCCCTTTTCAATAGAAATAGGGTTAAACCTAACTGCCTGACTCCGCTTTCCCACGCTCAGCTCAGCGGACACCGCTGAAGCGCTTCACAGAGAGAATCCCTGCCCTAGCAGATTACTTTTGTTTTGTTGTAACTGTTAATATGAACTTAAAACCGGTACGAGCATCTCCTCCGTCCATTCTGTAACTATTCATGAAAATTACTTTTTTCAATGTTTTCATTGCCCTGTTCTTTTGCAGGCATGGTGTCACTCACGAGCCCCATGCAGTGAGGAACTACGAAAGAGCACTTCGTTGTCGTGGCCACAGCATCCAGACTACCTGGTGTGGCATTATGGTGGATCCATCTTTGCCATGGCTGGGAGCGTCCCCGGACAGACTTGTATATGACCCCAAGGAGCCTGTCCCTCATGGAGTTCTGGAAGTCAAGTGTCCTTATACCATGTACCACTCGGCCGATCCTGACTCGCAGACCTTCTACATGGTGAAAGACGACTCGGGAACATACAGATTAAGGCGCGACCATAACTATTACTACCAACTGTTGGGGCAAATGGCGCTTTCAGGCTTAATGTGGGACGATTTTGTGGTTTACTGCAAGAAGTTTTTGATTGTGGAGAGGATTAGATTTTCTCTTTCTGACTGGACGGAATGCAAGGAAGTGCTTAACAAGTTTTATTTTCAGACACTACTGCCATACCTAGCACGAAGGTGTGATTAGTTAAATCTTGACTGAATGGAAAGCAGCATGCTAGTTTGGTTACTATAGTCCGTTGCAACTCAAGAAGATAGCGCGAGGGTGAGACGGGGGCCGGAGAGGAGGAAGCAGACGGAATGCTGGAGGAGAGAGGGGGAACCTCCTTCTCTCTTTAGCGTTCCGTCTGCTTCCTCCTCCCCGGTCCGTCTTACCCTCGCCCTACCTTCTTGAGTTGCAATGGACTCTAGAATAAATGACAGAGTAACAAAGACAATACAGAGTGAGAAAAATGAATTGGGGTTTTTGAACATAAACATCAGCTATCCCTTTATGTGGCATTTGTACGTGCATCATAGCGAGGGTTGCGTTTTTTTTTCGGTAAATACCGATAAATAACCCCCCCGAGGTGGTTTCTTCCTGATTGGTAAAAACCAGAAACCCTGGAGCCGTCCTTAAATAGGAAAAACCGACTTTTCAAAGTGGGAAAACCTTTGACCTTTGTCAGCATTTTCTTTTCTTTGTGACCTTGAACCCAATCTGTACTAAAGGTCATTCAGTTAGATATTAAGCCTTTTGACAAAATAAGCCCGATAACTGCCTTTTCCTTGCCCGGCACTAAATATATACACCGAATGCTAGAAAATAAATAAAACACAGAAAAACACCCCCCGACTTCGAAGAAAAATAAACCCCAAAAACACGGAACCCTAAAGATAACTCAGTGGTTTGGTATTTTATAAGATCATGCAAGATTTGAGCTCGAAAAACGTCGGTTTATGTGGTGCAAGTAAATCGGGATGAGAGCCACTTCGTGGACATGCTTTTTTTCTTCCGATGAGTGTAGCAGCATAAGCAGTTACTAAGAAAATATGACCGTTGCCTTCTCTTTCCTTCTTCGTTTATGCTGTCGCTCTTACTACCGAGGCTTTTCAATCAATGTTTACACTGCCATCTTGAGAAGTGTATGGGCAGTTTCCTACTTTATCTCTACAGTCCTTCATTTATTCATGAAACTTCCCAAGGTTGAGCCAATGAGCCTTCATTTCATTTTGACTGTGCCCCGTGTAAAAACATTTTTGCAATGAACAGTGTAGTGTGCACCAGCATGCACAGTTCTGTAAATACATTTGGAGACCCCGTGATGTGATACAGCGTATGTACTAATTTTTTTTAATGCTTCGGTAATTTATCAGCAGTGCAATTTTTACAAATAAAGTAACCCTTTGCTATACTAAGTCCACCTCGTTTTCATTTGGTTGCAATCAGGGGAATGATAAAGTATGAAAAATTGGTGACCACTCTGTTTCACTGCATTCCTTAGCATTCAGAAACTCGCGCTTTATTCGTGCCAACAAATGTTTTGGAGTGACAAGGGAGTAAAGTTCTATTCACATTGCATTTTTTACAAGAGCCCACCATTAACACTGAAAATTCACTCTTCAGGTGAGCACTCAAAACAATTTAAACATGATCTTTAAAATGAACCTCTCACTCTTACTTTTTGAAAAAAAAAATGTTTCTTCGCAAAAACAGTAACTTTTAACATTTCAATGCTTGTGTACAGGACAAGTGATGACCGTTAGTCATCACTTGTCCTCATCAGGGGACTTTGCAAGTTGGTGAGAACGGCACAAATAAACCACATTTCATTGACAACAGGGGCAAGCGAGATCGAAACGGGCCGGTCAAAGATGTGAAATCCCTTGATTCGTTGGATGCGTCGTTCAACGTGTATTCGCAGAGATGCAATTTCTTCTGTTTCTTTCACCTCTTCAGTTGTGAAGTTACCCTTCCGAAGGAAAGGAGGTGTGTTCAGTTCAACATTGATCTCTTTCAACTGGTCCTCTATCCTGAAGCCCTTATCGGCCATGACAGAATCTTTGTTATTAAATCGCAGCTTCAGGAATCCACTTGTTTCGACACATTCATTATCTGAAATCGAGCCGGTAAATAACTCCGATACAAAAGTCACCGTTCCATCGGGGGAAAAGCCAATGAGGCCCTTGAAGGTATTGGTTGACTTATAAGCTGAAAAGGTGGCTGACTGCAGTACTAGTGAACTTGAAGCTTGACACTTGACTTCAGTGGCATCAAGGATAACCCTTGTTGTTGGATAACGATCCTTAAACGCTGGTGGCATTGAGTCATCTACTTCCTCCCTGGTCAGCCACAGCGGTATCTGGCCAAGGTGTAAATACAAATAACTAATCCAAGTTATACAAATCTTGGAGACTGTCGCAGTTGAAACTCGAAACCTGTATGCCAGATCTCGCTCAAATAGCCCGAGGCGTAGGCGGACCAGCAGTCAAAATAACTGATCTTTAGAAGACAAGATGGAAGGTCTTCCAGCTTTCGTGACCTTTCCACTGTATGTGGTGGCCCACACTTTCACATTTTCGCCATCCTCACCAGGTTTTAAGAAAGACCAGAGGCTCATGAACTTCCCATAACTTGGAAGGCCGGTGTAAAACTGGATGTCTGCCGGACTGTCTTTAAAAGAATCTATACAAAATCTACGACTTGACTTTGCCTCAAGTGTATCGCATTTTGCCAGAGCAAGTTCAAGCTGTCTTTGAGTTTTGTACAGAGCTTGCTTCGTTTCTGCAAGCTCTGCTTCGCGTCTCTCAAGTGACCTACATTTGGTGAGTGCGAGTTGAAGTTTTGTTTGGGCTTCAAGCAGGGCACACTCTATTTTAGTTAGTTGAACTTGCAAGCTCTTGATTATCTCCGCTTGGAATGATGTCTTTTCCTCGAGCTGTCGTAGCTGAGTCGTGTCCACGAACTGGACTGTGGCGTAGCCAGGAGGGGAATCGGTGGTCACGACTTCAGTCCCGGCGTCGTTGGTGGGGCTGTCGATGTTGACCGCCGAGTCACAGGCGTCGTCCTCAGCCCTAACAGCGGTGATTGCGTCGTTTGTGTTGTCGTCGATGGTGCAATCCCTCAAGGCAACTGGGCAGCTGATTTCGTTGACGGTGGCGTCCACGAACTGGACTGTGGCGTAGCCAGGAGGGAGCACGGTGGTCAATACTTCAGTCCCGGCGTCGTTGGTGAGGTTGTTGATGTTGACCGCCGAGTTGCAGGTGTCGTCCTCAGCCCTGGCAGCGGTGATTGCGTCGTTTGTGTTGTCACCGATGGTGCAATCTTTCAAGGCAACTGGGCAGCTGATTTCGTCTTCGTTGACGGTGGTGTCCACAAACTGGACTGTGGCGTAGCCAGGAGGGGGGTCGGTGGTCAAGAGTTCAGTCCCGGCGTTGCTGTTTATAGCACTTGTTGTAACGTTGCTGGCAACATTGTCCATGTCGGTGATCGCATGATCTGTTGCGTCTTCGTCAGCAGCGGTCAGCTTGCTCGTAGCTTGCACCCTTTGAAGGGGCGCTCTCCTAGGAGGCTTCTTGGCGGCGTTAAATCCAAACACGCTCGGTGCAAATCTTTCCTTCAAGAAACGGAAACCTGAGGCGATATTGATGAGATAATCCTTCTCTTGAAAATGTAGTGAACACACCTTTGTGTATTTTGTGATGGTGAATAGTTTGCCTTCGTCCCGTTTAATGGCAATCACCCATTTCTTGCGCACAGTCGGCTCTTTCGGGAAAGCAAAAAATGATACCTGGAAAGATAAACAGAATAGGGTTCGCCGAATCAGATCATGTCACGATCATACTCATAAACACGGTTGAAGCGAACGCGCGATCACGGAATTTTGAACGGGCCTGTCACACCACCCGCAGACAACCTAGACTCTTCAAAATTCGTATTCTTCTTAAGCTCTGGGGAAGTGTCGAAAACAGAGATGGGCTGCGAAGCGTAAGCTCGCAGGCCACCGCTCAAAAATTCGTATCCTTTCAATGTGGCGCACTTTATACTCCCAAGCATAGGCGCTGTTAGCTCGTGTTTTCTCTTTCGTCCACATAGACCTAAAGTTACAACCTCGCGCTCTAAAGATTAGGCCGAACCGCATGTAACCGAATTCGCGAGCGATGAGACGAGCGTCGGCGACAGCGACGAGAATCATCGATGAGCGACGGAAATTTCTCACTGTCGCCCGTAGCGTCGCTCGGTTCTCGCATTTCTAGAAAACGTCGCTCATCGCCTTGTTCGCTTGCTCCCGTCGCGCGAATGACCGACGACAGCGAAGCCGGTCGCCGTCGCATGTCTCACGCTTCTCTCTTCCGTTGTTCGCCAAATCGCTTGCATGCTGTTTCTACTTAATAGCAAAACAAGAAGTCTCACCTTGTTTCCGTTATTATCTTTTACACCTCTCTGCTTGCAGAGGGGCACGCAGCAATGTAAAGGCATCTTCCGAGACCCCGAGCAGCGTCGCAGCAGCGGCAGTCACAGCGTTGCAGTAGGAAAGGAAAAGCAAAGGAAGGCGGCCAGACCAAGACCAGGCTTACGCGAGCACCCGATCACTGACCCGATATATATTCGCCGCCATACGAATGGCCGCCGACGGTGGCCAACAGCGCTCGCGCGTAGTTTTGAAACGTCGCCGCTAGATGGCGAAGAATTTCGGAAAGGGTCTATAGTGCAAGTAAAAACACTTGAGGATGAAAGCCCTACATTTGAACAAAACACCTATACAGAAAGGTAGTAGTACTGAGAGGAACACAGTCGCGGCACTCGTTAGCGTAATCAAGAAAATATATCACAGGCAACGACCTCCGTCACGTTAGAGTTAGAGCTCCAGATCCGGAAAAATAAAATGAAATAAAAACATACAGGGGTCCATTCGAGTGAGCCCTAGCCAGCATAACGCCGAAGGAAACGAGGATGATAAACAAGCCCAAAGTGTGTGTAAACGGACACCAGAAATGTCACACGTGGGTGGCACTGCTCAACAGAATACCGAGAACTACTCCTTAAAACGACTCCCAGCTCAACCTCCCCCCCTCCCCGAAAAAAGAAAGAGAAGAAGAAAAGAGGGAAGTTAGCGGGCAACATCCCGACATCCCAATGTTTTTAGCTCTCACCTCAAAGAGCTTTCTCTCTCCCCCGCTTCTCCTTTGCGATGGGGGAGATGGTTT